CCCCCCCCCCCCCTTTGAAATGAATGAAATATAGCCCCTTTCCACTTACCGGTTTCATCGCGTTCATCGTCTCACGCATCTGTACTTAATGTCCAACAGCTGAGCCAAGTTTTACAATAAGGAGGTACAAACAATAAACAGGACCAGTTCACCCTTTCTTTTCTTTGACACTCCTGTCAAACTTCACACTCGGGTCGTCCCGTTACAAAACGCCTCTGTAGCTGACTTTAATTCTTGTCGGCTAAGCAGCGTCGCCTGCTTACCGCCATGACCGAAGTAAATCAAATTCACCGCAGCAAACTCTGAAAAAATCGATAAATGTAGGAGATTCCCAACTTGTCGTTTATCCTACAGAATTTGACCCATAAATGACCTGAGAGGAAAACACCCGGATGTTGATACTGCGCTTGCCCAAAGCGACCTTCCACTTCCGATGTGACGTCATTGATTGACCATATTTGGAATGGGTGCACTTCAAAATGAATCATCGAGTGCAATGTAAATAAATGGATGTTTATACATCCAATCAAGCAGTTAATATATATGAATTGCGATAGTGCAAAAAGTAATAAAACGTTAAACGTACTTAATTCTTACACAATTTGTTTCCATCACCTGTAAATTGCAATACGTAATATGTTTTTCCTGTTTTGCAACGCAGACAACTTTATGGTCTGTTTTATAAGCATTGCTGTTGGTTTTCATGTCTGGAAACTGGAATGTTTGATAAGGCAATTAACTTAAAGATAATGGTAATATTTGATGACAATTGGAATTTGGAAAAGAAAGGCAGGAAAATAAAGGGGAAATTATGGAGGAAAATGTTTATTTAGTGGCTGTAAGACGCCAGTTTTCCAGAAAGTTTCATATACGATTTTGTCATGCCGTTGAAAACGCCACAAACAAGTTTTTGAGTAAAAGAAATAAAAACATTAATTTGAAATTAAAGGAGACTGAAGAAAATTTTTGATCAAACTATATTGTACAGATATATATTTATTTCTTATATTATCCTAGATGGTAGTTTAAAAAGACAGAATGGAGAAAACTAAATGGGCGACTCCACTTATCCGACTTGTCCTCTGTTCTGACTTTTTAAGTTTGAGTAGTAAACTTGTATATCTATGTGCAGTATCTAAAGTAGATTCCACTTTAAAGGCTAATTCATGTTCAAAATATTTTTGCTATATGTTATCTTATTTATTCTAGTTCAGTTTCAAATTGAATTGTGGCAAAATAAAGTTTTCAGCAATTCATATTGTAAGCAAAACGTACGTCGCAACTGATTATTAGGAGGTGAAGTGGGGAGACCGGGTCTAGTTGACCCAGTTAGACACTTATAGTCTTGTAGCGCAAAGAATAAGTTGGAGCAACAGAACCGGTTTTAGAACGCGCGCCAAGGACTAAGCTACAAACACAACGTCACTGTTTTGCAAATGTAAAGCCACATGGTACGCTTTTTGACAAAAAAAAAAAAAAAAAAAAAAAAAAAACAGACGTCAGGTCAAGGCAAGTTGGCACCTAATAATTTAATAAACTAGCAATTCATGTAAACGCCAGAAATGTATTTTTGCGCATTTCATTTTATTATGGTAATGTTTGAGAGTCTGTTTACTCTACGAGCATAGTCCATATGAGGCAGATATATTAATGCTTCTATAGGCCTACACTTACTTCAATATATTGTGTTGTTTGAATAACGCAACAAGATACATAACAGGGGAAACTTGCCCTAAGTCAAGTGGTGCAACTTACCCCAGATGTACATTTTTAAAATTATATTAAGTTTATTAAGTTTTTCAGCCATTTTTCTGCAGGAATGAACTACGTTGAGACTTTCATGCGAAGTTTTAAGCACTTAACTTTAGTTCCTTCATACTATGTATCTTTCTGTCAAAAGGTTATGAAAATAGATTTTAAAATCTCTTCGACAAAGTTACTTTCAGATGAAGAAAACGTTAGACTCGACGTTTACTTTTTTCCGACAGACGCTTTCTTGGCATTAATTTAGAGACATGGTCACATTATACGATTTTATGAAAGGCCAATTCCTGTAATTTCAGCTGTGGAGCGTGTAACAGTATGTACATGTATATTATAAGACTGATATGGCTTGGTTGCTCTACAACATTTTAAATTTTATTTAGGGTTGAAAACGTATTATAATCTCCAAAAAGAACGTACCGGGACCAGTTTCACATTTTGTAAATGGCTTATAAAATGAAATATATGTTTCAAAGTAGGCCTATTATTAAAAACACGCATTCATGGTGCATTCATTTTAACACTATTTTGTTCTGCTATATAAAAACTTCATTGACAAAAACAAATAATTATTCTTTGATTTTTCTTTGAATTGTTTTGTTTAATTTCCTTTACAAAAAAAAAAAAAACCCGCCACTCCTGATTTCAAAAGACCGTTTGGTGCTTTCAAAAACATTATTAATTTAACTGCAGTTTAACTAGTCCAGCTTCTCTAACAAATGTGACAGGTGTTCTTGACCTTTCGCCCGGAAGTAGATTTATTCACGTGGAAAATGGCGGACTCCGTCCAAGGCGAAGAGAAGCTGAGTAAAAAGTGAGTGTTATTCTGTTGTTGTACATGCGATTTCTTAATAACCAACAATGAAATACCAAAATGACATATGCCACTTGTACTAAATATTTAAGAATATAGACAATTTGTTTTTCTGTCAGAAAAGCCCCTGTAAAAGTGAACATGTGTTTCATTTACGAGTACGGTAATCCCCGGCTTCGGTTTCAATATCGACGAACTAAAGACTATAGAGTTTGTGGCTGATGCAATATTTTATTTCGAAACAAACAGACCGTTCCGTTTTAACACGTTTTATAACCATTCTATATTGAAAGAATTTTAACTGAGCTTTATGTACAAAAAGACGATTATAAATGAAAGAAATACCCCCTAAAATACGTAGCTGCACATATTTGGCACAGAGTTTTTTTACAACCGTCTCCCATTTTAAATTAAAATAAAAAATCAAGACATTCAAGTTTTTTTTTTCTCTGCAGAGTTCCCCTGCCCTTGATAAAGTTATAAAAATGGAGCTAGGATGAAGAGATAATTACTTGCCAATATCATGCACTCTTTGTGTACAGTTTTGGGTGTATGGAGAAGACCCCAGATTTTAAAACAGCCAATAGCCAGTTTTCATCTGAATTTCCAGCCTTTGTTTAAAAGCAAAAGGTTGGTAAATCTGAGTTATAATTTAACCATTGGCTGATAATTCAGTACCTTCACTGTGTTTTAAAAGGTTTTGTGAAAAGTAACCCAGTTTAAAAGCATATTTAATAAGGGCGATGAACACGAGTTATCAACAAAAGTAATAATTTGATGTGTTTGATGAAACAAACTAAAAGCACTTTAATGACTTGTCTTTTTTATAACCAGGAAAAGTATTAGAGAGATATGTTGATAGATAGATAGTAGTAGTAGTGGTAAATAGTAGTGGTTAAATTTCTTGTCATCTTTTAGATATATATGATGAAATAGTTAAAATGGTTGTGCAGTGAAGTATATATAAACATACATTGAATTGATGTATCATTTTAAAACACAATTATCTTATGGGTTCAGTTGAAACATGAAGTTTGTAGAATAGATCGACATACCTTAAACCAACATTTTTTAATTGCCTAAGAAAGTTGAACACTTTAAATTCGCCACTTCTTGGTAGTTACATTTTAATTAGTTTTAATAAAATCAATAATTCTTATTTATTTTCAGTGAACTGAAGAGACGACAAAAATTGGAAAAGAAAGCCCAGGAAAAGGCAGCAAAGCAGGCAGCTCAGGTAGCTCAAGATGAGGCCAAGCCAGCCCAAAAGAAGGCAGAAAATAAGCCAGAGGAGGAAATTGACCCTAATGTAAGCAATTAGAAATTTAGATATAAAGAATGGGAGTCTGTGGTAGAAAAGAAACATTCCACACTTAACAAATTTATTTCTCCATAGTCCTATTCTCAGTCTGTGGAATTTAACAAATTTTGAATTATCATTTAAATCTTTTTTGGAAAGTCTGGGACTCTTAAGCTTGCAATTCATATACATGTACAAGTTTTCTCTGTGTTTACTTTCAATTTTGAAATCTTGGCAAAAAGGAACTTTGGAATTTCTTGGGTCTGAGATGTCCTATTTTATCAGATATCAGATATCACTGTATCAGTTTAAATTGCTCTTCACTGAAAAGATAAAATATCATTTATATATACCACTTATATTCTATGTTAGGAATACTTCAAGCTGAGGAGTGCGGCAGTTGCCCACCTCAAGGAGAAGGGAGAGCATCCATACCCACATAAATTCCATGTGTCCATCTCTCTGACAGAGTTTGTGGAGAAGTACAATGGACTACAGGCTGGGGAACAACTTAGTGAGGTTGTCAGCGTGGCAGGTAGAGGAAACATTTGAATTTGTAATAAAAGAGGGCACATGCGCATGCTCGCAATTAACTGGGAATCTTCTTTATGTACAGGGGGCATTTGAATTTTCAGGAGGACAGGCATTCACACACAAACTTGTAAATTTTTAGTATTTTTTCTTTTCTTTTTTCTTTTAATCAGCTTTTTTGGATAGACACACCCAGGCATAGGCATAAATACACAATACTTGGAATTTTCATTACATTCAAAGAATTACCAGTCTTAGCTTTTGCAAAGTATACAAGCTTGCAAAGATATGCAAATATACACTGAACAAAAAATAGAAATCTATGCAATTTCTTTAAACCACTCTACAAGAATAAATCAACAATGTATAATTTATTTTTTAATTTCACATTTTTTGTCATTTATTTGTAGGCCGTGTTCATGCAAAAAGGGAATCGGGACAAAAGCTTATATTTTATGACTTGAGGGCAGAAGGCACCAAGCTTCAAGTAATGGCTAATGCAAAGTAAGTATGTAAAAATAATGTTTTCTCACCAATGAGCAACATTTTCAATTCACTTGCCTTGAAGAAAACAAGTGTCATTCTTTGTTAATCGCATCTGAAATAGTCAGACCCTTTGAAGTAGATAGTGTTGATTTTTGTGAACTTATCAAAAATGTTGACTAATTGGTGCTTTTCCTGTTCTGTTACTGTGAGACTTGTTTGTTTGATGATAATACATTGAAGCAAAGATTTTGTAATAAGTAAGTTGTAAAAGAAAGTAGTAATGTGTGCTTAAATCAAAGTGTATAATTTTTTTAAACAGAATATATGAGTCGGGACCAGACGGTTTTGCAAAAATCAATGAAAAGTTAAAAAGAGGAGATATCATGGGATGCATTGGAAATCCAGGTATATATCACATGATTGTTGTTCTTTTTTTCTGTTTGTTATTCTGCCCCTATTTCTAGTAATTGTAATGTCTAATAACTGGATAAAATTCTTATTTCATTTTCATTTGTGTCTCTTTTATTGTTTTTACTGCAGAAAATGATGACGCATTTATTAGTTTATGATGAATGACAATATTTTCAAATAAATAGTTTATTATTATTTTTATTTATTTTATTTTATTTTATTTTATTTATTTATTTATTTATTTATTTATTTTTTTTTTT